CAGTAAAGCTCTCCGTAAAAAATTATACATTTTCCCCCTCCTTAATTGATATATTTTATTTAGCTTGCCAGTCTGTACACAAATCTTAGCCTACGTAAGACTCTTAACCGTGAGCCTGAAGACAAATCGCCGCCCTTAAGAATTAATTTCGCTGAGCGCCGTCGAAAGCTCGTTTTTCTGTGTCAAAAAATTATTTTTTCTTACAACGTTTTGTTTTTTAATTACGCTTTGATGTCTGCCTTAATATTCGTTATTAATTAGGTGACAGCCGTCCTCTTAATAAAAGTATTTTGATTTGGCATGACTAATTTGTACTTTTGAGGGAGAAAGTTGATTATTAAATTTTGAATTATGAAACTGTCGCTGTAATCATCAGGTGCGATTGTGGTCAAATACATGCCTTGTTATGCATAAAAAAAAAAAAACGCTTTGTTTGGTTTCATTTGTTCGCTTGTTTACGAAAGTTTAATTTAATGTAATATTTACCAAAGTTTTGTATGTTATCGTCTCTCTTTAATGTTTTTCCACAGTCGTCTATCATCTCATTTATAGTGTAACATAATAAATTTAAGTTTTATCTAAAAATGCATCGATAACTAAACTTTAATTTAGTTGTCTGTAGAGTCCAAGAAACTCTTCATTTTGTTCAACATCATATGTTATTAACTAATCTTGAGTTAAAAAAGCTCACATGAATTTCAACGTACCTTCCCTACCTTTAAAAATCACAGAAGAACTAAGTTACTTGGTGCTCTCCTCATAACATATCTTCTGTTAAAAACTAAGTAGTATTTGTCTCTAAAAATATTATTGGGAAAATAACCACACATAATTGTTAAGTCTCAACCCAAGTTATAGTCCTACTCTTCGGGTAAGTATAGTGCTCTATGTACTAGTAATTAAGTTGTCATCAACCGTCAGCGACAATCGTCCGTCTTATCAGCGCGCGCGCATCCAACACCTCTAACGGTTACGACGCTGTAAATATGACGCGATCGCTTCAGCTGTTCAAATTAACGGTTATTGTTGCACTCAGCTGATAACGATGACATGGAGGAACGAATGGTGGATGCGGCTTATTGATATCATTTGGTGGTTTGAGTAATCTGGGTTCGAATTTTGACGAAAGACGGATAGTAACAATAATTTCCAAAAAGATGGTCTACTCACCGAAGATGTCGATTTCAGTGAGTAAAATTTCCTGGCGCTAAGAGTCGTCTATCGATCTAAAATTTTAAATAACTTGAAAAAAAAAACGAAATTGCCAAAGATGGGAATAGAATCCGCGACCTTTCACTTGAAGCAAAGCAAAAGGTCAAACGTGTGGTGACGGCAGAGTAGAATACTTTTGTCACCAACCCCTACTCTTCCCGCGGGTGTCGTAAGAGGCGACTTAGGGACTACACATCAAACAGAGAATGGGCAGCAGCGCTCTCTGAAAAACATCAATCTTTTAAACTGCGATCTCCAACCCGCCTGCCAAGCGTGGAGATTATGGCAAAACCCTCCACTATAGTGGAGGAGGCTCATAGTCCAGCAGTGGACTGTAAAGGGCTGTTGATGATCCACTCACCTGTTCTCTCAACCTCTAGATCACCTGAAACAAGTAAAAAAAAGTTTAGTAAATAGATATTTGTAGCTTGATTGATGAAATTCACATTTAAATTCTAACTACTATGAAAACTACGCGTCTGAACTCTTGTAGCTTGGTTGGTTGATGAATTTCACATTTACGTGTTACGTCACGCTACGCGTCTGAAGTGTGCTCAAACCGTATAATTACCGCATCTACCATCCCTACATTCGTGCAGCTGCGTTCCTGAGATTTATTCATGTTATTGTAGGAAGATTTCAAAGAACCAGTGGCCGATAGCGTAGAGTTATGGCGTGTCAATGCAGCGCGACAGAACTGTCTTGTTTACGCTGTTAAACGATAGTTAACATGGACGTGATACTAAACTATTGAATAAAGGGCTATGTAAATAGAATATATTAGATACAGGTTCGCAAGAACTTCAGAAACTCAGTAGAATTATTGACTCTATCGAGAAGTATTTTTGATAGAGTACGCGTTCAATGTCTTTTAAATAATATGGACATCAGGGCAGTTAAATGAGTACATTGTTTACTTTTTTGTATACTGACTGTAAAGGATAGAAATTATCCTGTATGCAGGTTGAGTTTACCCATATATGAGTATTGCGCTAGCCACATAAGTTACACAAAATAGTTTTGAAAAAGTAAAATAGAAGTTACAACAGTTAGTGTGCAAGCAACTGGTCATTCTCCACCACCATAACGGCCTAAAGCCAGACTTTCTACCTTCGTTCTCTCTCACTCTAAGTTTGAAAAGCGGTAAGTAACCTTTTGAGGGCGTGAGGACACGACATAAATAACAAAAATTACCTCAGACGGCCTCAGAGCGAACGAGTGAACGAGTGAATGAATGGCTCGTAAAGAAGATTGAATGATTTACGCCGCAAGTCGAGGAAGCGAAGCATATTTCATTCGGACGTTTATTGCAGCAAACTGTACTTTACGTGTCGAATTATTAGGTTATTCTAGGAAATTGTGGATATACCGACTGTTAAAGTTCTGTTTAGAAAATTATTTGTTTAGAGATTACAATAAAACAGAGAGACAGATTCTGATATAGCTAATTTGTAGGATTATCCGTTTTATGTAATTGTAACTACGTAAATATTGTTATCAAGGTGTTGCTTTGGATTAGTTTTAGTGTGGATTTAGAGCTTCATTGTAAGAGGTGTTATATAGGGTGTTGAAGCAAACAGTGATTTTTTTATGTACGACGACAGTTTTTTTGTTGTTGTAATTAGAGCAACAAATATGTAGGGTCTGACTATTTGTTGTCGTTTCTACCTATAAGCGCTGTAGATAAAAATAAATAAATTGCGTTTTTCAATTAACCCCTAAATCGATACTATTATACGGAAACGGAATTAATTTTCAACACTCCATTTAAAAGTAAACGGGGGAAACCCAGACCTTCCTTCCTAATTTAATTTTTTTGACAGATAATAAAGAAAAGAAAAAACACCACTAGGTAGCGTGCATGAGACGTCTCTCCCCTCGTTGGTTTCTCGTGAATTTTTCAAAAGAGTTTTTAATCAGTCGTCAACCGATTTACAAATTAAACAGGGCCGCGTTATGAAGAAATATTGTGAGGCTGCACGGTGCGTTTCCATTGTTGTTGGGTATAAGAGACAACACGACAATTTATCGTGCGATATTTTGATTGTCGACTGATAGAGAACTGAATTTTGTCAAGTTACTGCTTGTACGATTTGTTGAGGCTGCGTGTACAATAAAACTAATGTAACTATGTAGAATAAATAACCAGTTGCGGGCAGGGCCTCTAATCTATCAAGAATTTATGACCATCCTTTTCGATTTTGGATGTAGGTAAATTTATCTCGAGGGAGTTAACTAAATCGCTTCACAAGTCATGATTATCTGTTTATTGCACACGTATTATTATTATACAGAGCTGTGGTTTTCTAAATAAAGAAAAATAAAATAAAATAAACTGCCATAAAACACACTTCACTTTGATTGAAACATACGACATTCATTATGTAACTCATAACTCATCATCATCATTTCAGCCATAGGACGTCCACTGCTTAACATAGGCCTCCCCCAATGAGTTCCATGTTGTCCGGTTGGTAGAGGCCTGCGTCCACGATTCTTTAGTCACGATGTAAATTTTATTCGTCTTGCAAAAACCTTAGCCGACTTTATCGTATCTTAATGAAAACTCGCCCCAAGAGTTATAGCCGGCTCGGATCTCCGCAAAAAGCTCGCAAATTCCGTCATCAATTATCATTATTAGGGGGCGAAGGCGCGTAATTGAGTTTTATAAATGGCGACGCGACGACCCGACGACGCCTGTCATAAGAACGCCTCGTGCTAGGGCTGTCAGAAGGAGAATATTTGTCCTACTTGTGAACTAAATTGATGCATCATAAATTGCACTGATTAGGACTGATTTTTCAATCGTCAGATATCTTTTAACTAAGGAATAAACTTGTCATTATGATGACATAAATATTTCTCATAATGAAACTGTCAATGTGCCAAACTTATTATTCAGTTGAAAGTTATCCGACGATTGAAAAATCAGCCCTTAGAAGAATATTTTTCTATTCTGTTTCCTCTGGAATAAGTTTGTCGACAACTTAGTTTATTTTTCCTACTTTCTTCTCTTTTTTCCTCTATTGAGAGACGCTAGAGTGCTATACAATTTGTTTTAAAGTGAGTGTGTAGCGTAGACAGCTCTCATTCATCTAAAACGTGTGTAAAGAGCGGCATATCATGGTCGCTTAAATTTTACCAAGATCCTCGTAAGGATTTGTTAAAAATGTAGTGCCTTCGAGTCTAGATATATTTTGATGCGCACACTGTTAATAAAATAGGGGAATATTTTTTTCAAATAACATACCTTTTACTATTTCCAAACCAAGTTTAAGCATCTTATATTATAAAGATTACCGGATTAGTATACTTTTAAATAATTTATGGTTAAACNTATAATTACATAATTTTGGATACACAAAACATACACTGTTTGGCTTTAGGAAAAACGTCTCGTGTTCATCACAATCTTTCGCGTAATTCGTATTGACAACCACAGTAGGTGTAGTCAGGTACGTGAACCGCTAGTCATCAAAACAGGAATACATTTTGAGTAAGAACACAAAATGATGTGTAACTAATCGTAAATGAGTTTTGTAAGGATGAGACGAGCTGTCGAGGCTGTCATAAGAACGTCTCAGGGCTGTCAGGTACTTAACAATTTAACTGGGCCACTTATAAATTGTAATAAAATAAAGAGCATAAAAAATTTAAAAGCATTAAAAATACAATTTAAGAAACTTAGGACGTCAGAGATAGACGTCATTGGCAGTTATTTCAGAAAAGACACAATTTTATCATGATTAATCTTCTGTACATTTCAGATATTACTGGGAAAACAAAAGAAGGAAACATGAAGATAAAAGCTGGAATAAGCCGATACATTGTGACGCAATCAAAAAAAGAAACATTTGAAGATGACTACGTCACAAAAACGATGGGGGCATTCGGCAACTACCAAAGCCTGGTGTGCTCAATAAGCGTGATTGCTCGAATGATATCTTCCTGCAACATAATGAGCATAGTTTTTCTGACATCTAAAACAGAATTTGTCTGTACGAGGTTCAAAGATGGTATCCGCAGGCTAGTGCAAAACTCTACGTGCTACGATGACTGCGTTCAATACAAATACAACAGTTTAGTGTTTGATGAAACATTGATTTCTACGTTTGGGTTAATCTGTGACAGAGCATGGCTCACCAGCTTTACACAGACCATTACTATGTTTGGATTAGCGTTTGGAGTTGCTATACTTGGATGGTGCTCTGACAGGTATATCAGTTTAAACTTAGATTATACTCATCAATAATTTCAATAATATTGAGGATCCTAAATTGAGTCTCGGCTTCCAACATAAAATATGGATCTACTAATGAGAGATAACATTCTTTTGGGTCTAATTTAGCTTCTTTGGTTGGGTTTGTCAGTGACAACATGTACAAGATGTACAGAGATGAGATAAATGGAGGGCCACAAGTGCTAAAAGTTTATTCACTCATTTTTAATTTACATTTAATAGTTTTAAATAACAGAAACTTACAATATTATATTCACGTTTTTCAGATTCGGTCGTCGAATAGCGTTCGTGCTCTCCGCTTCGATTTGCGTACTCTTTATGATCGCCGCTCCGTTCGTTTCTAACTACTCACTCTACAACGCCTTCCGATTCTTCGCTGGTTTCGGTTCAGGAGGAATTATGGCTATCAACGTGGTCTACAACATTGAAATAGTCGGCTCTAAATATAGGGAGACCGCAGGCGCTACTGGGTTGATAGCAGACGGACTTGCTATAATGTTCTTAGCTGTAGTAGCCCACTACACATCGAAGTGGCAGACATATCTCTTGATACTCGGACTAGTTTCAGGCATGATACTAATTCTTATGCTCTTCATACCAGAAACTCCAAGATGGTTGATAGCACAAAGGAAGAAAGAGCAAGCGATACAATTGATGACCAAAATTGCGACATTGTGAGTTATGTTTCAGATGTTCTATTGTCACGTTACTAAAATACGTATTTTAAAGGCGTTTTTTTCCTATTTCAGCAATAGACTGGAAACCTCCCACATTAGCGAGACTGTGAGCAAGGTTATAGAAGAATTAGAAACTGTGGAAGTTAAAAAACAGACATATCTGGATCTGTTTAATAACAGAAAAATCACTAAAGTGACTATAGTTTATGCAGTCATTTGGACTTTGGGAGGAATATGCTATTATGGTATCACTCATTATTCCACGTTGCTTGGACTAAACATATTTGTTATGGTTCCTCTGATGGGATTTCTTCAGGTGAGTGATCATCATAAATGTTATCTCATCAAGAGCTTTAAAACCAAAATAATGCACAACCAATAAGTTTACTTTTTTTTTCAGATAATAGGAAACATTATCGCAATTCCTGTAAACAAGTACTTAGGGAGGAAAATATCTGTCATCTGCAACCTCCTCCTAGTTGCTGCTATGATGACCATCCTTATTTTCATACCTGATGGTCACTGGGGCTGTGCTGTGACATCGCTACCATCTTCTCCATCTGCGCTTTTTGCGTGTTCTACCTTCATGTCAACGAGTTGTATCCCACTCCTTTAAGGAATATGGGCGTTGGTGTCTGCTGTTTTGGCTCCAAAGTTGGGGCGATGGTGGCTCCTTTTATCGCGAATATGCAACCCCATTGGATGTCTTCGACTATTTTTGCTGTGTTACCCTTCCTTGGAGCTGTTTTGGCATTTCTTTTACCTGAGACGAAGGGGAAAAAGATGGAAGACACTATATGATGGTTCACATGTAATATACAGTGTGAGTCACGTTAAAGTGTACATATGAAAATAGATCAAACTAGACCTATTTTTATCGACAAAAAAGAGGTCAAAATTTTTTTGAGATTTTTTTTTTAATTTTTTATCGATTTTTTTTTCTTCCAATTACTTATTGTAAAGAAAACGTAATAACTTTTAAACTAAGAGGTATATCCTGATAAAATAAAAACAGTAATAATGCTAAATAACAGGCAATACTGAAAAGATACATAAAATACCCAGAAAATGCCAACAAATAATAAATAATTATTAACTTTTAAAAAAAATAAAACCGACTTCAAATGCGTGAACACAAAAAAAAACTAAAAATTGAAAATATTGCGTATAAAAAAGTTCATCCCCAATTTTCCACCCTTGGGGGTGAAATATTTTCTTCAAATTCGCATGAAACCACCCTTTTGATAATACCTATTCAACAAAAAAATAATCGTTCAAATTGATTTATAATCGGCGGAGATATTGCGTATAAAAAAGTTCATCCCCAATTTTCCACCCTTGGGGGTTGTTTTTTCTATTATTGAATTTAAATGGGACCACCCTTGAGGTATTACCTATACGCAGAAAAAAGATTTGTTCAAATCGGTTCATAATTGGCGGAGTTATCGCGTAACAAACATAGAAAAAAAAAAACATACGGGTCGAATTGAGAACCTCCTCCTTTTTTTGAAGTCGGTTGAAAATGAGACTTTTTGAAAAAAATCTGCTTAAAAATTCGTATTTTTTTGGTTATTTGATAAATTTCTCAAAAAAATGCCCCTATAATAGGTGGTTTTTATTACTTTGTATTATTCTCTATCGTATTATCTTTGTAAAACCAAAAATCGCATGTCTCTATCCCTATCACAACATTTGCTATGATCGTTTGAACAAAGGCCTGCCACAACATTATTCTCCGCTAAAGGTAGAGACAATTTTAATTTTAACTAAAATGCTTATTTTACTTCGAAATCTTTTGTTTTTATTTGAAATCTAACTTGTCTTTATCAAAATTACAAATCTAGAGCCATTTTCAGTTTCGTTGTCAACGAAGCGTTGAATGGCGCGCCCGGAGAGGCTTAGTTCAAACAATCATTGCAAACGTTGTGATAGGGATAGAGACATGCGATTTTTGGTTTTAAGAAGGTAATACGATAGAGAATAATACAAAGTAATAAAAACCACCGGTTATAGGGGCATTTTTTGGAGAAATTTATCAAATAACCAAAAAAACACGAATTTTTTAGCAGATTTTTTTCAAAAAGTATCATTTTTTATTATTTTTTGGCCTTTTTTGTGTATTTTATGTATTTTTTTAGTATTGCCTGTTATTTAGCATTATTACTGTTTTTATTTTATTAGGATATACCTCTTAGTTTAAAAGTTATTACGTTTTCTTTACAATAAGTAATTGGAAGAAAAAAAATTCGATAAAAAATTAAAAAAAAATCTCAAAAATTTTTTGACCTCTTTTTTGTCGATAAAAATAGGTCTAGTTTCATCTATTTTCATATGTACACTTTAACGTGACTCACACTGTATTATAAGGTGCCGAATTGCAGCTAACGTTTCGAATTCGAATCCTGCAAGTTAGTGTGGTTGATAATTTTTATGTACCTATGGTAATTGCAGAGAATTTGTATATTATGTATGTTTTGTATTAAATATCAGTTCTAACATGTTAAACGTTCTAAAAACGGTTTAAACTTAACAAAACTTAATAAAACTACATTATTGATGTCCTCGGGAAAATAAGATGTAAACAAAATGTGCAAACCAACTTTGAAAAGTTAGTCGTCACAAAGGTGCGTATTGAGTATCCATGTATGTTGTCAGTTTGTACTTAGTATTTACTTAATTAAGACATGCGGGTTAGAATTCAGATAAGTTGATTTGTAAAAAATAGTTTCGCTTTATACCTTGAAGTATTTATTGCCGATTCTGTTTTTTTTAGTTATTAAAGAACTGTGTAGTGTGTGACTTGGAGCACGAAATCTCGACGTACAGTGTTTATGAGTATTTTTGATGTAACGTGTTTAAATATGTTTGTTTTTCTCATCTGCAAGTGAACTCCTACTGTGCATATTGGAATTGCATGAAAAGTAAGTGATAAACAATTGGACATTATTATTTAACCACAAGAAAAAAATTACCTGAAAATAATACATTTTGAGGAAATTATGAACATTTTCTGTAACCATGTATTGAATTGTGGTTAAAGGTCATAGCAGACTTATCAACTCGGAAAAGGATCAACACCGTATCTCCTTTCGCGAGCTGTCATCTCCTTTCGCGTAAAGTCAACCACGAGGCGAGGCGTTTACGTTACAGTGCGGATAAATGTGTGTTGCAGTATTACAGTTTACTGACCGCCTCAAGTTAATACGGTGTTGATCCGTTTCCGAGTTAATAAGTCTGCTATGACCTTAACGTAAGCCCGTGAGATAACTTGCCTATATAAATATGTACTTAAAGATACGATCTTCATATTGCTTTAGCTATTCATGCAAAGATAGTCTGTGTTTTGCAAGATTACGTGAAAAACGTTAGATAAATCGTAGATTAAAAGATTCATCGTTTATCACAAAAGTCCTTTAAGTTGTTTTGTTTTCGCATCTTGTTGTAATATACTGTTAAACGTTCGCCTAAAAAAAGCTGAAAAAAAAATAGTTTTCGAATTTGTTAGCTTGAATTATCCGAGACAAATATGTTCGGTTAACAAAGTAGTTTTGGAGGTCATTGTCTGAGTTTTTGAATAAAACACGTGACAACTAATTAGCTGGCTAATTAACTATTAGTGTTGGTTTGGAGAAGCACGTCGGCGCATAAAAGAATAATGTGTGCAGGATTTCTTACACATGAAGTTTACAGTGGATAAACGCTTGGGTGATAATTTTAAAGCAGTTCCGTGGATACAGTGAGTATAAACTAACCTTGTTTTATTGAGTTTTGTAGTTTAGTTGTTTTATATTATAAGTACAAAAATCAACAAATAGTTATGTACCTATTGGAAGACATGTGAGGCGTTGTTAAGGGGTGCGCCAAAGTTCACCTAAATTTTCAACTCCGAAAATTGGAAGTCCGAAAATGTTCTTCCTAAAATTTTTCATCCTAACAATCACAATTCCTAACTACTCTGTCTCTAATGTTCATAATTCCGAATCATTCAACTTCATAATGTCATTAGCAATAAACATCTATTATACTTTTATTTGTTCTCCTAGATTTTCTCAACATAACCATATTTTACACTATTATTCAAAGTCATATCTTTTTTGTTTAGATTTCTTTCTTTGACGATAATATTAAAGTTCCAGAAACGAATCGGTCCTATTCATAATTATTGGTTTAGGTTAGGTTAGAACTGTGACCACAACGCACGAGTCGAGCGAGCGAAGCCAGAGTCCCGCTCCAGTCATTCAGTCAAGTTCCAGAAACGAATCGGTCCTATTCATAATTATTGGTTTAGGTTAGGTTAGAACTATGGCCTTACGTTTCATTCGCGAAGAACGTACTTCTGTACGTAGTATTTATTAATATTCTATGGTATGAGTGAAAATATTATGGTAATGTTTAGGGATAAAAGTGTTATGATAAAAAACAGTAGGAGTTTAAATATATTTACATAAATGATATTATTAATTACAATTTTCGGAAACACGAGTGTTATGTACATCGCCGGTAGCACTACAAATAGTATGAATGAAAACTTTAGGACGAAAAATTTTAGGAAGAGTGATCATTCGGATTTAAAATCGTTAGGAAGAACAATTTCGGGTAAATAACTTTAGGTGAGCCAATATGGACCCGTTGTTAAGCTCTCTTATTTTTTTGTGTTCACTCTTAGTAACTCTCTATTTTTTTAATACTATTGATGACTTATTTATATTACTTGCATGTAACTTTCATGTCTTGTGTTCGAATCAGCTGGTGACCTTAAATCAATAGATTATCTCGTGTCGAGTTCCTTGGAAAGACTTGAAAATTAAAGTGCCCATGCTTAACTACACCCTGTGTCAAACAAAACCTTTACAGATCAGCTAACAGCAATTTCCTTTCCCTGAATATGACTACAAATCCCAACCAGCCATCGCTCGGAGCGGTCACAAATCGACCATGAGTGGTTGATTACCTTAACTGCCCTCCGCAAGGCATCAGATAAAAGCCTGTGAGAGTTAGAAAAGTAAATTTATTTTGAGGGCTCTTTACTGTGTAGGCTTAGTCAGACTTAATTGATTTTGAAGCAGTATTTATTGAGATTGTTTAAATAAAACCGATATTTTTTCTGTCTTATTTGAAAAAATTGTAGGAGGATGATCTTTTTTAATTTTTAGACGCAAAAGGGATAATCTAGCTTACACTCTCTTGACAGACGAATTGAGAGAGAGAGAGAGAGAGAGAGAGAGAGAGAGAGAGAGAGAGAGAGAGAATCTCAGTTTACCTAAGGTCATTATCAAAATTTTCCAAAGTATTTTTCTGTATAAAACAAGAAATGATTCAAAACTCGCACTTGACCAATTTTTTCATCGACATTCCGATGAGTGTTCAGACCATTCCTGACATGATCATTACTTGATAGCCCATGTCAGTCAAATGATCGATTTAATAAGGCTCTGAACACACTTGATACTTTTTACTTAATTATAGCGGCTGCTGTATGACGATTGATGTGGCAGTACGTATTCGTTGAAAGATCATAAATAACCAGGACAACACCAATATGGAACAATAATTTACAATCGGTCTCCAAAACTGTAGATAATGATTCTTAAGAGTATTTTTTTTAATCGTCTTATTATTAGTCTGTAGAGCATTTTACTCCCTTAACTCTTCCACTTCTTCAAAAATCAGAAGTTGCAAGGCAGGGAATGCATCCAGCATTGACTTCTCTATAATTTAACACAATAATTCGGGCAATAAGTTTAAAAAATCATTTAAATCTGATGTCCCAAAGAAGCAAATGTGCGCGGCCTCTAATCTCTTCGCTCACCAGATTGAGTGGGTTGAAGTGGGCAAGATTACAGGTTGTATGAGGTGTTATTACTGAGCAGCCATGTTCGCTAACGAGGGACTCCGGGCGTTGTGGCAGCGAAAGGGAAAATGACCGTGAACGTTTGTCGTGGCCTCAGATTGGAGGGAATTTAGCTAACGTGGGATGTTAGTCATGAATCATGAAGCCTCTCAAAAGTTATTGGAGAGAGGTTTCAAATGATGCTAAATTGTTAACGTTATGATAAATTTCAAAATGGGTATGCATTAAAACAGCTTTCAGGATCTTGAAAATATATTATATATCCAATAGGATAGACAAGTATTTAGTCGAGTGGGATAAAGTCCTACAAAGAAAAGTAATAATGTAAATTCATAACGTATTATTACTTCCTTAGTTACCAGTTACTTTATTTTGTTCATGGTGATACTACATAGAACAATTATTCACGTAATCAGTATTTTTTGACCGTAAAATAGTTAACTATTTGATCTGTAATATTTATGATTTCAGATAAAATAAGAAGAGCAGTAATGAAGATCAAAAAGGGAATACAAAGCTATGTAATATCTAAAGTAAAATTAGAAAAAGATGTCAAACCAGAAGAAGACTATGTCAGCAAAACCATCGGAAACTTTGGTTCATACCAAGCAATTGTGTGTCCTATAGCAGGCATTAGCAGACTCATAGTAATGTGGAATGTTATGTGTATAGTTTTCCTAACACCGACAACTAACTTCACTTGTGTGAAGTTCAAAGATAACCAAATTAGAAATGTCACCAACTCAACATGCTATGCCGACTGCATAGAATATGCATACCATAGTCCAGTGCTTGAAGAAACATTGATTTCATCGTTTGGTTTGATATGTGGTAATGCGTGGCTTGCTAGTTTTACACAGACTATTGCAATGCTTGGATTAGTCATAGGAGTGTCAGTATTTGGCTGGATTTCTGACAGGTAAAATGTGCTCATATTGATTATCATCTCATATTTCTTTATCACACAAACATTTTCGTTGTTAAACAATTTCCAATTATCATTTTCAGGTTCGGCCGCCGCATCGCGTATATTCTGTCTGGCATGACAACAGTCATCTTCACTTTGGCTTCTTCTTTCGCGCCAAGCTACTGGGCGTTTACTGCCATGCGTTTCTTCGCTGGCTTCGGATCAGGCGGCGTCATGACACTTAGCGTCGTGCTCAACGTCGAAATGGTCGGTCCAAAGTACAGAGAAATTTCTGGAGCTATGTCCTTGCTTGCTGATGGAGTTGCAGTCATGTTATTAGCAGCAATAGGAGCTCCTATATCGTCGTGGAGATCGATGTTACTGATATTTGGAATAGTCGGGGTTTTGATACTGGTAATGCTGATGTTCTTACCAGAGACGCCTCGGTGGTTGATTTCGCAAAGGAAGACTGAGGAAGCTGTTGCCCTGATGACTAAAATCGCTAAGTTGTAAGTTACATGTATAAATAAAAACTACTTGTTCATGTTCTTAGGAGGAACAAACACCTATTAAGCTGAAGTAGCCCTCATTAGTAGCTTTCTCTGAGAAATTATTATAACATAAAATATATGTTGAAATAATCACCGTTGAATCTAAAGTTTCTTATTCATATATTTCAGCAATGGACTTAATACATCTCACATAAGAGAAACAGTTGAAGAAGCCGTTAAACATCTTGAAAATCAACAAATGGCTGTGCAAAAGTATACGTTCCTGGATCTATTCAGGAATATGAAACTAGCCAGGATAACTGTGACCAGTGTCGCTATGTGGATAGCCGGCGGAATATGTTATTTTGGTATAAACCAATATTCAACGTTACTTGGACTGAACATATTTGTTGTGGTGCCCATGATGGGCTTTTTTCAAGTAAGTTTTTTTTTCAAAATACCATGAATGTTGATTTAAATGATCCCAAATATTATTATTTGTCTAAAATAGTACAATCATTTCACTTTTTTTTACATAAGTAGTAATAAGACAACCGATAAAAATGAACGAATGTATAAACTATAAATGAATGTTTGAACTACTTTGATTAACACAGTCACTAATTTATTTAAAATGAATTCATCATCATCATCATTTCAGCTATAGGACGTCCACTATGTTGTATGAATAATTTCCATAATGGCTGATTGGTGGCGACCTGCATCCAGCGCCTTCCCGCTACTTTTATAAGGTCGTCGGTCCACCTTGTGGGTGGACATCCTACGCTGCGCTTTCCGGTTCAAAATAAATTAATTTAATTTATACCTTTTCCAGATTATAGGCAACTTCCTTGCGCTACCAGCGAACAGATACTTCAAGAGGAGGATGTCTTTATTCACCGCGTTCATAACAGTCGGTATTTTTATGCTGATCCTCATCTTCGTGCCTTACGCCCACTGGGGCTGTGGAGTTCTCACTTGCACCGGACTTGTCTTCGCCATTATGATCATCTGCATCGCCTACGTCCATAGCAGCGAGGTCTACCCCACTCCTTTGAGGAATATGGGAATCGGTGTGTGCTGCGGAGGGGCAAAGGTTGGGGCAATGATTGCCCCGTTCATCGCAAACGCACATCCTCATTGGATAGCTGAAACTATATTGACTGTGATACCCTTTGTTGGTGCTCTTCTAAGCCTTTTGCTGCCAGAAACTAAAGGCAAAGAAATTAAAGATACTGTTGATTAAAAGTTTGAAAAAATGCTTTGAAGACCCAAAATTAAAGTAGACATTTATGACGAAAAGAGTAGGTACTTCACTCTTACAAACACGACAAGTTTTACTTTCTTTTTCCTCAATGATTACATTTTTTATTTCAAAAATTATGTCATCACTTTCCATGTCTGCAGATATAATTATCGTGCGTGACCTTAATTATCATAATATCGATGACAGGTTTAAGATCCTCATGCATCAAGTCACATGATTGTCAGTCAGATAGAGATGGCCTTATCACTATTGACGTAGAGCTGTCTCAATCATCTCGAGTACAGTGATAAGGAAATTGGTGAAAGAATGGATGTACTCAATGCATTTTTGATAAACGTCTGCAGAGATTTTAACTCTTTTCTGGAGGATTATTTTCAAAAGAATTCTTTTGACCGAAAAGATGTAATAAAATAACATACCCTTTATTTATGGGAATTATGTACCTAATAGTCTCTCTATGGTGAAATAAACTTCGCTAACAAATCATTAGACTACTTAGGGTGGATTCGACCAAACAAGAGTAAATAAATATTAATCTCAGAATAAATCGTCAGTTAATCGACATTTTGACATTTCCCATATTAAAACTGTCAATGTGCCAGTTATACCAGGAGTTATTCTCGGATAAAAGTTTGGTCGAATCGGGCCTTAATCAGTCAAATGGTTTATATTATTTAAACCCACTATCCTTCATTGTAGTCATTTCTTTGAAGTTTTGAAACAATTTGCTTTATTGTAACCACCGGCAATGGATCATAAGTTCATAAGTGAATTCACAGGATGGACGACAAATTGGAGCTGATCGTCGGTGCGTTTGATTCGCCCCGTTATCGTTTCTCCCCGATTGTCACGCGGCGGCTTTTGAACTTGATCCATGTCTCACTGAGATTTCTGAGTCACTGAATAAGTATGACAAAATCTACAGCCTTTTTAAAAAATAAGCCGAAACAAAAATTCAACAACAACAACTACTATTAGCCAGTCTAGTAGCGAGACTATGGTATAGAGCCTGAATTATCAGACAATTAATTAGGTGCTAACAAATAAATAAGGTTAGGTACATGGCCAATATCTACATTCCAAGCTGAACCTGAAAATGCTACGAACTTTAGACCATAATAATTCGTAGTAAATGTTACTTTGCATGTATTTGATTTGCTTGTCTCTCTTGAATCAGTCAAAGATCCTTTCTTTGACTCGAAGTCAAAAATTTTAGGTTAGTTCGTAGGTCATCGCTACGGCAGCTGAGTGTGACAAATGTTACACAGTGACAGGGCATCCAGGGTGGTTACATAAATTGTCTCAAATGACTACGATGAAACATTGTGCATAAAAAGCCGCAGCTCCATACAATTGAGATGGACGTTCATTGGTGACGCTCGGAAATTGTTTTATGATTGCAAATTCACTCGCTGACCTCTATTTTAAGTGATGTATCCTGCAGGTCTATTATCTAACTTTGAGATGCCGCATACCCTTTGTATTGGACAATTGACAGATATTTACGATTTGATCCTACTTCCTACTGTTTTCAAAACTTACTCCGAATTTTACTGAATTTGAAATAAATATTAATCTCCCATTATATTTGACAACTATGCTACAGTGCCTTTTTAGCTAATGAATGCAGTGGCAAATGTTTTAACATTTATTAACAATTTGAGGATTTAGAAAATATTGATTTAAATAATGTTAAAAGTCTGTTTACGTAGGTACTTACAATACTTAGTTTCATGACTTAGGTAAATCAAGAATAAAATAATTTTCTGGTTAATTGATCTACCGCATACGTTATTATTTCTACACATTATATTTCTATTTTGATTACCTACCACCTAGTATTAACTATATTTTGATTTATTCAACATATTTTGCAACAGCCACTTTCAAAATCGCTACAGTAAAATTACGAGCGATATTGCAACTATTAATTTGACTAGAACCCCATAATTTTACCACCCAAGACAATGGGTGATAATAAATGTACGACTGTACGTGACTTGAGATTTTGATGCCAAAAGCATCAAAAAATTTCTGATCCTTATCGGTGTAGTTATAAAGTTGAAATTAAAGCGAGATTGTAAGGTAAGAAGTGGTAACCAGTAATCTTCAGTTAGCGTAATATGTTATTTTGCAAAATGGCGGTTTGAAGTTGGCTTTGTGAAAATTGATCCGTAACAAGGTATTATTTAGGTGCATGAAAGATTGCATTAGATAGTGCCTACACGAATAAGTACGGCAAGAACAGTCGCCAGAGATTTGATTCTAGGATACAAATAACTTGAAAATATCGAATTGCCTAAGGCGGGAATTCGATTTTTTTACATTAATTTTATGTTAAAAAGGGATTTCCTTGAAAATAATAACTATACGATCGAGATTAATTATTAATTTAAAGTAGTATTACTCGTAATATCATTTAAAACCACTGAAGTTTTGAAAGAACCCACAGTTATTTGATATTATTTTAAAGTAGTCTCCAAAAATGAAAAGTCATAATTTTGCTTTAGTACCTATCTAAAATAGACAAAGAATTATGAAAATAAAATGAAGACCACTTAATTTTTCAGATCATTTTATCTTAACTTAAACTTTAGATTCATGTGACGATACACTGCCTTTAATAAATTTTAGCCTATTGTGGGTAAATGGTGCCTATAAATTATTTTCTCCAACTTTTACTGTAGGAATATCTATCTATCGCGATTGGTTAGGTTAGGTTAGCCTTCGACGGTGCTGATGAATAGGTTGATCCCATCAAAAACAATACTTGTCAAAAAAACCAAGTCTCGCAACTCAGTTGTTCTACGGTAAAAAGTTGTGAGATCCATGTAATACCAAGTCCAGGCCAGGAAATCTTTAACGTTTTACATAAATTATTGACTTGGCCATCGCACTAAATAATTTAATTTACACGTGTTTTCATGCGATGGCCAAGTCAATATATTTATGTAAAACGTTAAAGATTTCCTGGCCTGGACTTGGTATTACATGGATCTCACAACTTTTTACCGTAGAACAACTGAGTTGCGAGACTTGGTTTTTTTGACAAGTATTGTTTTTGATGGGATCTCATTTCTTTTTGTATTTTGTAGACAGCAGTTATGTATCTAGAAAACTGGACCGAAATTGAAAAATTTTACTCGACTTGGCGGTTGCACTACCGTGCCCCCAAATATTTTAGTTTTTCCTTGATTCATACACCAAACACTACTTATATTCCAAATTTGAAGCTTCTAGGTCTGCTAGAAGTGCCTTAGAATTTTGATGATCGGTGAGTCAGTCAGTGAGTCAGTGAGTCAGTGAGTGACAAAATTAAGTAACTTTGACCCGTTATAATTCTTAAACTACTGGTTCAAATTGAATGAAATTTTAAATATACCGTGTCTTTACAATGCCTGCATAGCTAATGAAAATTCAGCCTTCTAGTTTTATCCACAACGAAGTTACAGGCGGTCGAAAATGGCCTGAATTGCTTCGAGAAAAGGATGGTACGGCCGTGCCGCTTTTTTGCTCGACTTGGTGGGGGCACTGCCGTGCCCCCAGATATGCTCCATAATTTTAATATTAATTGCAAAAATTAATCCATACAGGGTGTGAGAAACGGACCACAGGTAGATACTTATCATAATTTTTTAAAATAAAAAGACGGGATTCTCATTGAAAATAGTGTCGTAGGGTAATACGACAGTTATTGGGCGCTGCCAATCATTGGACAAAACGCCCTTTGAATGTCCATAAAATGAATATTCCTTCAAATGCAAATTACTCTTTTAACTCCATCAGTCGGAATCTCTTAATTGTTGAAATAGAAATGCTATTTTTTAATTTAATAACTGTCCAATAACTCCCATAAGTATCCATTGACTGACAGTTTACTTTAGTTTCTAGGACATCTGAAATTATACAAGATTTTCACCAAAAGAGAATCTGATTTCGATACTGTAACAGTTAGCTGTCTAACCAACAGCTGAATTGTTATGCTTGAAAGCTCGCTAGGCTGTTGCGAAAAGCTTTTTTGTAATTTGTAGACTTTGACGTTTTGATATTTCGCTTTTGCCAACCGTAGTTTATACCTTAGTTATTTATTTATGATTTCCATCTTCGTTACCGCTCCAATACCCATAATATCTGTAACAATAAATTGCGAGGTTTCAGAGAACCGTACAATTTACCATCACCCTGTCCATAAAAATGTTAAGTATGTCTCGCTCTAGGCTAAAGACAAAGATCGCTCGTTACCTTGATTGATGGGTGCTGCGGTGGGCGTGCTATCTCTTCATCTGATACCACTTTATGGTATCGGTACCGAGATTATGGTTTCGGTACTGGAGCGGAGCGCGTACCCGATGTTTTGTATGATTTATGGCTCCAGGTATCCGTCATTATGCGTTTGAAAGTTGATCGAGAAATGGCACGTTTAGTTTTGCAAAGATGCCTGATAGCAGCCATTTGAGGTGCTTGTGGGAGGAATTACTGGGGCTTTGTTATTGGAGTGGTGCACGACGCCATGAGTACATGTTATTTTAATTTAAACATGACGAATTGACTCAATAGAATTCACCTTGTCACTGCGTAATCGGATCGTTAAATTGGTTAATTTGCGATAAATCATGCGAGATGGGTTGTAATTTTTAAAGCACCGTGTTCTCAAGATATTCGATCGTTCTTAGGAAGAAATAAAAATACGTTTATTTACAAGTAGCACAAAGAGAGTATTCTCAAAGAGCAATTTTACAATTGGAATCCTTTCACTCAAGACAACACAATTTACTGTATAAACCCACTATTTAACATAGCCACAATCACATAATTAGTTGTACAAGAATCGGAATTCAGAACATTTGAAAGGTTATTGTTAGCTTATAATTTGACACAGAAGCTCTTGTTCATTTGACTTTTCCTATTCTCTGTCGTTTCTCTCAACTTTGACGTTTGTAGAAAGCGCTCATGTCGACGTCACGTCGCAATATTGGAAGTATGCGCGCACGCAACACAATGGCCGCCGTCGATAGCATCAGCTGATCGTGTGTGGTCTGTGCCCTTCTGCGGAGCCGTCCTGAGGGAGCTTGAGGTTGTAACTTGCATTAATATTTAATGCATATCAAATCATTGTCATCATCATTTCAGCAATAGCAATAGGACATCTGCTGAACATAGGCCTCCTCCAATGCCAATGAGTCAGATTAGCTGTTTTGTAGTGACTTGCATCCAGGAAATTTCAAGCAGAAATGAAATCAAAAAGCTTTTGTCAGGTATCGGTGTCATAAAAACAGATATGTAGGTATGC